GCATATGAGGTTTGGTTTCTCACACCTAATTCTTCTTGCAGAAATATCTTCTGCACCTTCTCCACACGTCACCATATGAGTGTGTTTAGTAAAAATCCAATACAACAATATTTAGTTTCTATAAAATTCATCTTTGTTTGATGAAAAAACATTGTTTTGAATGAAATTGTGAATTATTGCGATGCAAATCTTATAATTACAATGATACACTCAAGATTGTCATTTATATTACCAATTCTAAGTTAAGGAGAGATATGAAATTATAGCCTCTATATTAATTTATTATATTATTGATTTAATACATATGTACAAATTAGTAAAGTATTATAACATAAAACATTTTAGAGAAATTTTATTGTAAGAAATTATGTTGAATTGGATCATAGATTTGCTAAAAAAATCAAATCTAGCTTTTGTGAGTTCTTTGGTGAGAGTTTGGATTATTGTCATAATATTTATCTTGTATTAAAGTCAGTGAAAGTAAGCATGAGTTTATCATTGAACATGGATGAAATCTTGAATGGTATCATGAATGAGATGAAAAAGTTGAATAAAGTAATAGTAGAAGAACATACAACGCAGTAAGTCATGCAAAACAAAATTATTGCATTAGAGAATGAAAAAATGGAGAAAAAACGATGTGAAGGTTGAAACTTCAGTACCATATACTCAAGTTCGAAAAGAACCACAAACTATTGATGTTTCATAAACAAATACTAGACAAATTCAAGAGATTTAATATCAAGCAATTTCTTATTTTGAATGATAAAATCATGTAATATGAAAGCATATAAGGGAAATGTATCATGAGGATGAATAAAAATTTGTTAATTCTATGTGTCTCATTTTATTGCATGATTGTTCATGAGGTTTTATCTCATCGATACAACACTCACATTGTATATTGTATGTGAAAAATTTGATACACATCATGTTGTATATTAGCATGAGGTATCTTAATTTTGTGAAGTGGAATGCAATAGATGTTTTGCAAAATTTTCAAGTTGTGACCTCTACATACAACATGAACAAAGTTATGGATGTTGAAGCAAAAAAAAAATATGCATAAATATATTGAAAAATTTTGTGATATTCAAGTATGAATCATGAATATAAGTGGAGCAAAAGTATTTGATATCTTCAAAATAAATGATGTTAAACAAACCATACATACTAAATAAGGAGATTACAATTGTTCAATAAAATTCAAGTGCTTATGCAACTACAAACTGTACACCATCAAACAATTTTTGATACATTTGGCCCTAGACCAATGCAGTTCAAAAAATCTATGACATATAGAAGTTTATGCATCATCACAAGTATCAATACAAGGTTTGATGACTATTGATTCAAAATTTGCAATGAATGTATGCAAATAATGAAATGAGTCAAATAGGCGTAGAATTCATGATAATCGTCAATGTAATGCATGTAAACAAACATGTCACATTGTCAAGTTTTGCCAAATGCGATCAAAACTACAAATAGAACGTCGAATGCAGCAACAGCCTTTCAACAACATTGACCGCGAAGAATACATAGAAGCTAAAGAAGTAGCTTTTGGAAACACAAATCACTTGTAAACTTGACTCGCATGCTCATTGGTTTAACAAAACAAAGAAATGTCCAAGTTGAAAGAAAAAGTGATTGGTTACTCACGAAAAGAGCAAAAAAACAAGTTCATTTTATTGTTACGGATGGCATGATGCAACAACAGAAGATGAGAGTTCTCATTGATTTTAGAGCAAGAAAAAACTTTTTGTCACGAAATGTTGCAATGAAGTAAGTATTGATGTTGATAAAGGATGTGAATGAAGAATAGGAATTGTCAAACGTGTAATTGATGCAATAGAGACAATATCACAATATGTAGAGTTATCTATAGCTAAAAATAAGGACTAGGCTGAATGATGAGTAATTTATTTAGTTCAATATAATGTCATCATAGTAATATCTTGAATGCAACAATAAAATTTGTAGGTAGATTGGAGAAGAAAAGTGATAAAAAGTAGTCATTGAAGAATCTATGGAGATTGAACTAGAACTTAGAATAGAAATTTAAGATGGATCTTTGTAATGTATAAAACATCTGTTTCTGAAGATTTATATATATAAGATTTCTGAAGATACATGTTTCTTCAAAGTTATGAGAGACACTGTTGGATCCAAGTAAAAATTTGACATTCCAAATTTTTTGAACTGCATTTGTATGAAGTATAAAGATGTCTTTCAAGATATCTACCAGCAGGTTTATCATTGAAAAGATGTGTAGATTACGAGATTGAACTACTACCATGAAGTAAATCAACTTGCAAACCTCCATAGCATTTAGCTCCAAACAAATTGAAAAACTGCAAAGCTCAAGTGAAGTAGATTTTAAGCAAAGTATTCATTTCATCAAGTGTTTCAACTTATGGAAATTTAGTGCTATTTCTGAAAAAATAAAAGATTAAAACATGAGGTTATGCATTGATTACCAAGAATTGAACTAGCAAACGGTGAAACACAAGTATTAATTATCTTTTATGTATGACTTGTTTTATCCATTTCAAGGAGCAAAGTACTTCATTAAATTGTATCTAGTATTGAATATCTAGTGATGAATTTTAGTTTCATTAATACGTTTGTTACATTCATGAGATTAATGAATGATATCTTATACCCTTATCTGGATTAATTTTTTATTAACTTTTTGGATGAAATTTTAATACATAGAGAAGTATTTCAAGTTTTGAAAAAGAATGAATTATATGTCAAAGATTCAAAATGTGAGTTTGACAAGTCAAAAATAGATTGTTCCAATCATAGAGTTAAACTAAATGAATTCTAAGTAATTAATGAAATATAAGAAGTTATTTGAAAATGAACATTATTAAAGTATTAAACTAAATCTAAATTTTTTTTAGTAGTTATAGATTTTTATCAAAAAATTGTAAAAGGTTTTGCTCGTCTAGCTCAAATTTGGATATTTATGTTAGGCAAAATCCAAAAATGAAAATAAAAAACAACTCAATAGTTATTTTTTCAGTTATTTGAAAGATGTTCTGTTATACACACATATACTCAAGTGGTACAATCTTGATGGAGATATCAAATTGGCTATTTATGTGTCAAGTACAAAAATGAATGTCATACAATAACACTAGATTTGAGAGTTTCACTCAAAAATAAACATACGTTTTTAAGTTACCATATTACCATGAATTTAATACATGAATTGTCACAAACTTGTTAAAAAAATTAATCCATTATGGTTTTTTTAATAAGTTGAGCAAGATGATTAACATCAAACAAATCACATAAACGATGATGATCTCAGAACTTGCTCAATTGTATTTAGATATAGTTTTTGTAAATCATAGATTAAGTAAAATTTTAATCACTTGTCAATCAGTTATTCATTTCACTAGTTTGTTTTGAAAATTTTTGTTTAATTTTATCAAAACAAAAATAACAATGTCCATGGCTTATCATATTTCTAATGATGGTGAAACAAAGCAAGCTAATAAAACAGTAGAGAATATTTTACACACATTTATATTAGAACAATAGTAAACACTTTTAACTGTTGTGAGATTTACATACGACAATTCTATAAATGCATACACAAAACTCTCTTTAATAAAAAAAAAATATAGTTAATTCTTTTAGCTCTTGTGAAATTTGTATATAACAATTTTATAAATGCATACACAAAACTCTCTCAATTGTAATATGAAAATCCATTGTAATATGTAATAAACTCTCTCTGTGAATATCACATCAAACAAAGAGAAATTGTTGATTGTTCGAAAAGAAAAACATTGTAAATATATTTATTGTAGAGAGTTAGTTTTAGAATATCATGTTTAGTTATTTAGAAAAAATAATTTTATAAGAACATCAAAATTTAATTCTAGATTGATTGATGTTTTTGTGATATTGAAATGTGTTAATGAAAGTTATTATAATTTGACTACTTTTATCACATATGAAAACACACTTTACATTTCATGTGTTACAATTACAAAAAAATATATTACAATTAAAATAATTCACAAATCAACCAATGTTATTTACTCTACCAAACTAGATAATTAATCATGAAAAATTTTCATATTCAAAAGAAAATTCATTATTACAAATATTCCAATATAATATTTGGTTCAATGAGAATCATATTCATTCTATTAATTAATTTGGAAAACAATTAAAAATCTAATAAATACACCGTCAATAATGTAAGAATTTGAACAGATTCAAAACTAAATTGTACAACCATAAAAGATTAAGATGTTAGTCATCTTAAATTATTTAAACGTACAATGAAATAATTTAAAAATTTATAATATTATTTATAATATTTTATAATTTTAAGTTTGACAAATAAAGAATGAATGTAATAGTCAACTAAATTAATTATCAACGATCTATACATCTATAAGAATTAAATGCCACATTACTAATAAAATAGAATTCTATCCTTGTATTAAGATACAAGGATAAAATTTTATTTTATTTCTAATATAATAAAATATAACTCTAAACAAGAAATATCAACCCGGATTTTACTTTTCATATATAAATTTTACTAGTGAACGAAACTTAATTTTACATGTTCTATTTTCTGATGAACTGTTGCCATTCTCGCATAATCTTCTAATAAACTCTTCCCTTCATAGTGTTACATGAGGCCAAAACCGTTCAACAATAATAATAACAACACCTACGCGTACTTGCAAGAAAAGGCTATGAATATAATTATAGTCCATTTGAAGACTTTGATTTTGAAACTATTGAATGACCAAACATACGCGTTTGCGATCGTCATCGCGCTTTATTCCACTCGATGAACACTAACTCCTGCGCGAATACAATTTGCCTCCATCACCCATGCTATACATAAACAAATATTCTAACGTGACTTTACATCGTAATCTTGTGTAGAAGGCCTTCAGATAATCACAAACATATCCACATGAGTATGTTCAAAACGGTGGATGCATCAGGTGCTCGATGTTTAGGCACATTCAGGGATAAAACATCTCTACCTCTAGGCATCACTGTAGAACGATAGATCCCATCACCATGGAGAAAGTAATGAATAATTTCTGTAATAATTGGCCAGTCTACAATGGCAACCCAATCTACAGCTAAAGCAAGGCTCCCACGGCGCCTTTCCTTGGTTGATTGGGCAACAAGCTAAAGACTACCTTAGACAGAATATGAATCTTATCAAAGCCTGCTTACGCGGGGCTAGATTTCAATTAGGGCCTACGGTACCAGGCACTACTGAGGCTAGACTACTGGAGGCTTGAGAATCATGAAAACGCTTTGTACACGAGTTGTAACATAAATTTGCTCAAAAATAATCCTTGAGTTTATTTTCTGTCTTAAGGTAGCAGGTATGGTACATGAAATCAAAAGTGAGGCAGTTCGCATGTGGTGCACTTCGTGCTCCATGTCTTCTAAGAAAAATTGGTGAGCCTCGAAAAGAATGAGCTGGGTGTAGAGGGGGGCGTCTCAACAACAGCTGGAATACTCAGGGGTTTGTCACTCATAGTTGCGTTGTTGTATGTATCATGACATCTTTTCAGCTGCAAACCAGGGAAGGGGTTAGTGTGAAAGCGGAAACCACAGACACCATTCAAACTTTTAAGTAATTGCGAGGAGACCACAGGTAGTACTTGGGTGTAGTGGATGACAAGAAACATTGCTTACTTCTTCCGGGCTGAACTGCAAAAGCATAGCAACGACTGGGAGAAGAGCCTCCACTTCACCTGCGGTAATGAGGTTACACAGATACAAGAGTTTCATTACGGACCAGATGCTTTACAAACAAGTGCATGTGAGATGCATACGTCATGACAAGCATCATCAACAAGAACTCGCATGCAATCCAGGAGCAAGTCAGTCCTCTAATATTCGGTCGATGAACGAATGAACCATACCCGTTTCAATCAACTTTAAAATTATATTCTTCAGGTATGTCATGTCCACACCATCCCGCTTGTGAGCGCGCTCTAAATTTCTCACTTCTTCCTTCAGCAGATTTTCCTGCATAACGGATCTCATTAGTAATTAATAGGCATAAACTTCGAACTTGGTCCAAAAGTAAAACTTGAGACAAAAGGTAACTAACAGTAAGTACACCCTGCTACAAGTCCTATTATTACACCTTAGCAGAGTTGACGGAACTAAATACACTGAATTACTCACTTGTTGACTGTGCAGCCGATTTTCCTGCTCCAGTTCAGCAATTTCTTCCTGCCAGACATACCGTAATTTTCATTTGTATTTATATTTATTTAGGATGATCGAGTGCAAGTACTCAACACGAGATGCGGGAACAGTTACTGGAATTACTTGATGTGCTAGTAGACCTATTATGTCCGGTTTTCCTTCGAACCGAAGTTAACCTTGCATATGCTTTTACATTGAAAAAATTTAAACACACACAAGTGAGTCCGGGAGTAACCTGCAAGGCCTGGATGTGGCGTCGACACTGAGAAACTTCATCTTCCCGTTGTGCCTGCTGCCTAGCCAATACCTGCACAAAAAATCAAACTAAGTTTGCGGAGCAGCAAATAGTTTCAGAGCGGCGACCGATGCCATAGTAGCTACGTGCCGTCAAGAGTTGGCCGACGGCGGACTAACATACATCAATTCTACCTGCCTCTTACAACGAGCAAAACTTCTTCATAAATCTGAACGTGAGCATCTGAATGTGTTCAAACTGAAACAAACCACGCCTTCGATACAAAGTGAGCAACTTCGAAGACTATGAGCCTGGCAGAAACAAAAGCACTAACCAATATTTGATGCTCTGCAAGCGCAACCATCGAAGCTGCATCTGAAGCATCAGGAGCTGCTGTCAAGAGCCAATCGAAGGATCAGATTTGAACGATAAAAGTTGAGCCAATTCAATTTTTTCTTCCGAAGACCGCATGAACTCATTTCAGTCCTCTTGGAAAGCACGGACAAACTGCGTCTCTCAGACAGAGCAGAGCAAGCAGTCAAGATAAAGTTTCTTCACTGTCACTCAAACAAGTCATGGCGTCTTACCTTGGACAGTCGGCTCCGGACGTTGGATCTACAATGCGATGATGTTTGATCAATATATAGAGATTATGCATCGGACAGCGCGATAAGAAAATACTCCACCGGGGAAATCAACAAAACCTCGTCAGGCATCTCAAGTATGCTACATCCAAATATAAGGACTTGTTTGATCATCTCAATTACAACAAGAAGAAACCTAGCATACCGAGCTTTGTTGATGATATTGCTGCTGCTGCTGAAGTGATCTTTGCAATGCTGTATTGTCTTCCAAAAGCCGAGAAATCTCTCCATCTTTGTCCTCGATCATCTTGTCAACCATTTCCCGGAATGACTCAAATTCACTCTGCAGGTAGGGACGTACATACCTTTTGAATATACCATTCAGCTATTATAGTTTGACGAAGATGTAAAGACGAATTTTGAAGGGACAAAAGCGAGCGAGGGAAAATTTTGTAAAAACCTTAAGATTCTCGTAGTCATTCAAAACTGCTGTATACTCCTGTCTCAAGTCAGGTTCCACCGTATCTTTCACCTTACCCTCCAAGGTCTCAAGTCTTGCTGCAAAACAGGTCCACGTCAGCCTATGTCACCAAATTAAAACACCAGTACGTGCAGCTTGATGGTTTTGATACTTGACAAGCGATACACGGTCGTATGCATAAATAAACGAAAGGTCACCAGGAAATTTCATCAGAAAACGGGTAAGAGGTCACCCTTAGCAAGGCCTAAACTGGACCAGTAGTTTCCAACAACATACCCCACCACTTGACCTAGCTGAGAAACTATCATAAATTTCAGAAAAAGGGCCTTACAGCGCCAAGAGGCTTCAACTTCTTCCAAACGACTTTGCCATTCAAGCTGTTCAGCGGCTAAGTGCCCTTTGGCAACTTCCAACTTGATTACTGCATCCCTAATACGCTGTTCGGCATCGAGTAGTGCTACCCCCCTGCAATACAATTCTTATCAGGAAAGTTTCTAGCTGTGCAGGAATAACAGGACCCATGTATAGATGAACCATGTCCTGATAAAGAACTTGTCAGGTATTCGGCGTGCCAAATAGCTAAATACCATTTGCAAGGACGACATGCAACCCGAACAGCAAAGTAACTTGACGAAGAAATCTTTTTCTAAATACCTGGCAGCCAGTTTAGTTTCATAGTCTGAAACAACTTCCTGCAAGGCTTTCCTGGCAGTATCCCTTTCCGCTGATGCAGCAGCAGCATCGCGTTTTGCCTCCTGCAAGAATATAGTGAAAGGAATATTTTTCAATTTGGCCGAGTCCGACGCTCCTAGTCAACCATAGCAGTTATTTCTGAACTTTTAGGTTTCACCCCGGTAATTCTTGTATTTATGAACGAAGCTAGCAGGCGAAACATAAATATTGAGACAATTTGAATTAATACAAAACAAAGTCTAGAATTAACATTTTCTTTGCGTCACCTTCAGAGCTGCTTCTTGTGCAGCAACGAGTTCGACATCTTTGGCTGCAGATAGCTCTGCTTCCTTCCTTTGTAGAAGAGCGTAAGCGCGAACTTTGTACGAGGCCAGATCATTAGCAACGCGAGCTGCCTGAACACCCAGGAAGTGTTTGATGCCACAAACATGTCATAATCAAGTAAAGGACCACCAATCATAATGCATTATCTTCGAGACAGGTATAAGACAAGTAACTACTCCTCCAGTCGTGAGAACGTACACGATGCAACTGGTACGAGCAGTGCTGTAAATAAGCTCAAGGTTGTTGCCACTGATCCAACAATGGTCTCCGTCTCTGAAAAGGAAACCGAAACATCGCATTCTGCTGGAGACTTACCTGCTCGTTTGCGGCAGCAAGATCTGATTGTACAGCACTCAAAGCTTGGCGCTTCTTTTCCAACTCGGACTCTAACTGGGCTGGAATCAAGTCAAAGTCCATGTCAACGACCCGCAAACTTGTGACAACAAGGATCAGCAGCCTTAAACTAGAAGTCTTCTAAGAAGAAAATGACTGCTATGCCCTCACCTTAACATTCCAAGGCTGATTCCGGGCAGAATCCAAGAAGAAACATGAAGGTCTGCTAAGAGAGGCTGGGCTTCAAGAAGAAGGATTCATGACTTACTTCGCATCTCTGCAGTATCACGCTCGTGTTGACGGAGAGCAAGTTCTGAGTCTTCTAGTTTTTTTTTGAGTTTCTCTAAACTAGTCTGCCACAGCTCCTGTTCCTTTTTCTGATAACGTTCGTTTAGGTCAAACAAGCCAAAGTCTGTTAGATGATCCAATGAGTTGTCCGAATAAAACGTTTATCTCTTGAATTCACATGTATTCATCGTTCCTTGCTCTACAAAAGTATCATGAAATACAAGACACAAAAAGATGTTGGCTACCAAACTTTCAGATACTGTTGGAGATCTAAATTTCATTCGTAAATTTATTTCGGACAGAGATAAGTGGCAACGTACATGCTCCTGCTCAAGGCGCGAAACTTCCCCTTTGGCAGCTTCAAGAGAAGCACCTAACCGAACCACCTCTCCACTGGAAGCTGCTTCCAGTTCAGCAAGCTTTGCTTCCTTTGTTGACAACTCAGCCTTGTATTTACAGGAAAGTGCGAACAGCGTAAGGTCTCAAAAAAAATACTTGTTTTCTGCCTCTGAATCTATGTAAAACATTTGCTACTCAAACTAACAGCCTCCATACTGCGTAATGCACATTCACAGCTAAGCTTCTGTGAGGAAAGCCAGGAACTTTATGAGATTCTGTCACGCATTCAGATAACAGTTCCCTGAAGGGAGATATCTTACACGCAAATTTAGACTTCATTCAAAAGATTCGGCAAATCTATTGTTCAGATAATTTAGCAGATGCATAAGGTGGCAAACCTGCAACGCAGAGATTGTTTCAACCAATTTGGTACTATCTGCGAGTCCGTCAGCAACCTGAGCTTTCAGATCATCAACTACCTACAAGTGCAACAAACCCAACAGAATCATGAGTCAACTAATCCAAAAATTATACCGTGTTGCTCCATAAATAAATAAAAATCCGATCCAGAAATTTTAGTAAAGCCCCTACCTTTTGATGCTTTTCTTTCAGGTCCAAGAGAGCGGCTTCGTGTATTGATTCCGATTCTTTCAGCTGAGCAGCCATCTCCAAAGCAATCTGTGTGATCGAGTCTCAGAGGCTCGGTTTGAGATATTTCAAAAATCACTGGCATAATAAAACGTTTTTCCCAAGACAAGAAGCAAGCAAAGAGCAGACCTGGTCCTTCTCAGACGCTATTCGCCGAGATTCTGAAAGGTTATGTTCCTTCGCTTCAAGCACTCGTCGAACATCTTCGATTTCCTCTTTCAGTCTGACAACAAAGATGTTATCAAGGTAAGATAAAAATCTTTGTTTATACAAGGACGTCATCTATAAAGATATACATGAACGTCATGAAAAAAAGATTATCATATGTAAAAATATGATGATGTTGTTTTCAAGACGTTCATAAGTCTTTCATGCAATTACATATGGCAGTTTCAGCTTTTCAACCTAACGCATGTTTTACTTTGAAGTGTCCATGAGCTCACTTGTTGTTAGTCAATCGCAACTCTTGTCTCTCGGCACTCAAAGAACGCAATGCTTCACCCGCTTGAAGTCGAGCACGGTCCAGCTCATCTTGAACTGCAGCTTGTTTCGAAAGGGCTTGGGCCGCCTTCTCACCGGCTGCTGTAAGCTGAACTTCCACTTCGTCCTTCTCCTATAAAATGAACATAAGAAGAAAACAGACAATCATGTGGTGAACAAACACAACAATGTACACCAATTAGTTTTAAAATTAGGACACACAATGTGCCAGTCCTGGTCTTCAACCGAGAGACCCCAAGCACAAGAAAACTGCTTTGAGTTGAGTTATATAGTGCTTCGATACAATTATACAAGCTTTCACAATAAAGTTCAACGTATGCAGATCAGTAGTGTATGTAACTGTCACCTTTCTGAAAGTGCAGAGTTAAATGAGCTCGGACATAACAGAAGAAGATCTACGACTGAACATCATATTTATTGAACGTGACTTCAAATTTAAGAGTTGAAACTTAAGCTGGAAGTATCCGCACCTTTTGAACTTCCTGTATCCGTTGCTTTGCCCGTTTCTGCAGACGCCCAAATTTGGCATCCAGCTCTGCATACTTGTCATCTCGTGACTTTGTTTCACTATCCAACTTCATACCAGCTGAGTAAAGAAAACACAGTGTCACTGGTTCTGTTCGAATAAAACTCATTGTTTATCAAACCATTAAAAAAATTCCTCCTTTCGATACGATTAGACAAGAGCTCAAGTTGTAAATTTACCCCTCAATGGCAGCAAACCATCATGTAATCCCCATCTAACAGGAAATTGTATGCACAGCCCGCTGAAAACGGCGTAGAGCTTACTATTGACGCAACATTATGGTGATCAAACTTTCCGACTAAAAAGAAGATAACTTTTCTCAAAGTCAAAGGTTTTACCCCTACCTTCAACAAGTTCCTTTGTTAACGTCTCAATCTTCTGTAGAGCCTCACTATGGGCTTTGGATAGATGTTTTATTTCTTCTTGCAGAGCATGCAACCTCTCCTTCAAAACTGCTACTTCATCGACATTATCCGCCCGTATTATAACGCTTGCATCCCGTGCAACTGATTCCAAGTTACCACCGTCTGGCTGAAGGCTCCCCAATGCAGCACCCTGTGATTTGACTTCAAGTTGTAAATGTAGAGCTTCGTTTTCAGCTTTCAGCTCGGCTATTGATTCACGAAGTGCCAGCTCTCCTTTACTAATGGTCACGGAGTCCAGGGCCTTGGCCTGTTCACCAGTACTATTATCCTGGTCTACAGGCGTTACGGGACTAGCTTCTAAGGAAGTTAACCGTTGTTGAAGAGCATTGAGTTCACCCTTCAAGCTCATAACTGCTTCGCTGCTTCTCTCCAGCTCCTTTTGAAGATGTTCCTTCTCATCAAGCAATCTCTTCACTCTTTCTTCGGCGGCCTCTCGCAGAAACTGATGCTCATAAATTTTTATCCAACAATAAACAGCATAAATTATCAGGCAAGTGTAAACGCACAAGGTAACGTACAGATTTTGAGATGACGATTTGCCGCGACAAACCAACACATGACAAAAGAAAGAATATAATATTATTTTTAAAGTAAGCTAGGTTCAGCAAAAAAACCATAAGTAGAATAAATTTTAGAGAAAACTACAGCACACGCACCTCTGCTTGTTGGCAAGTTCCAGTACTCTCCATCTGCATTTCACAATCTAATACGTCAGGTAGGTTTTACACCTCTGTTAGTAGCACCTAAGTGTAATTCTTCTACTGGTACACCTCACTCTGTTCATCAAACGGAGCAACAGTGCTCGTTGTTAGTGTGCACTATCTCCTTTATTATCTGTAAGATCGATCAGCCAAGCTAGTGAGGCCTTAGAGACAAACCATTACGAGTACAAATGTACAACTGCAGAGAGGGCAACTGCCATTTCCATTGAGCACATTTTGATGCCAGGATTTTCCAGAGGAAACTTGGGACAGCCCGAATTTCACACCTGGGTCACCCATACTCGACAATCAGGTGTTTATGAGACAAAACAAGTATATCAAGCTGACAAATACCAGCACCAACTCAGAACTTTACACTCAGAGGGACAAGGAAGTGCCTGAAATTTAGTCCCAACTGCACCTCGGGGATACAATACTGGAAGTTTCTCTTTTCATATCTCCCTGTAACATTTAATAAGATTGATAATCAATATAGGTATGGTGCGTCCAGCCAGCCAGTTCGGTGGAAGATTACCTCGGCCAGCCGTTCCATGAGCTGGGCCACCGCAGCTTCCTGGCCTTCCTGAGCAGATTTGCGCGCGGCAGCCAGGTCTTCTATCTCCTGCGCGTTTCAGTGAGATTGAGATTATTCACCAAATAAGATGCGCTCTTCATTTCGACTCAAAAATTAGCATCACAATACGCCACCATCATGCTCATACCTTAGTTTTTTCTCGAAGCATCTTCTGTGCTTCTGATAGAGAATTATTTGCCTGCTCCAGTTCTTTGAATGTACTGAGACAGCGAAAAAATAAAGTTAGAAGTGAATGGTTCGTTGTAAAATGACGACACTTGGATGTGACAACTTATTATTATATGCTAATATTATATATTCAGATAAAAAAAGGGACCAGGCGAAAGCCTAACTTTAAAAAGTGTCAAAGAGAACTTTTAGTCCGTGTATCCAGGAGGTTTACTTTTCAAGCTCAGAAGAAAGCCTTTCGTGCTCTGAAGCGAGCCTTTCATTCTCCGAGGCAAGACTTGCACGCGCACGATTCGCTTCATTTCCTTCCTTCGATAGGCGCTCTATATCGTCTTGAGTGGCGGACATTCGAGAGAAAGCTTCATTCACTTGCCCTGCCGCCGCCATGAGTTGGACTTCGAGCTTTTCATTGCTCTGTAGAAGAGTATCACAAATGTAAATGAACGGAATTCAGCATAGTGCAACCTTTCGAAGCTTTAATCAACTTTAATAAGGTGTGCCAGAGTAGACAGACGAAAGAGTCCACACCTTTGTTAGATGCTCTACACGTTTCTCAAAACTTTCGTTCAAGAGTCTCAGCTTCTCTTCGAACTCGATTCTTTCTTGATCTTTATGTTTGACGATCGTTTCATTTGTCTTCTTCACTGCACTAAACAAGTAGCAAAGGTAAGCACGAAGCTCACAAAATTTGTAATGATTATCCTGTTTCGCGACAGAAAACTTCTCTAGGAAGTTCCCACTTGAGACTTGAAAGCTTAACCAGGCCGGGTGAGCTGGTTTACACTTGCCCCATGTCTGCTCTGAGTTAGACTTTGGCCATGTTATTAAAACAACATCTTTCATCCAGATATCTTGGGAGAATGACTGAAAGGATGATTTCTCCAGGCACAACGCTAATAAATACAAGTGCAGCAATCGAACGCAATAATTCTGCTGTAAATCCAGCTTTGGACATCGAGTAATTTTTTCGCATCTCAGCATTGCGCCAAATATCAGACATTACCAAGCAGAAGAGGGGGAGGGTGTAAAGCATGGGAAGAGTGGAGGCGTTGTACAAGCAAGTCCGCACGCACACACAGAGATAATTACATTCGGTGATTTCGCTCTCCAAGAGTTGCCTCTCCTTGGCAGCTGCATAGTCTCGACTTCGCCCGGCTTCAATTTCCGATTTAAGCTCTGCCCGCAAGCTGTCCACAACAATTTGCGCTCCTCCTCGGTCAGGAGAAATCTCGGACAAAGGATGTGAAATCTCCCCATTGTTGATCTCCGGGGAAGCTGGCATTTCTCCGTGCACAGGAAAAACGCCCTCGGACCCAAGGGAGAGACGGGGCGAAGAATCACCATTCAATGCGCTCCCTGGGCTCTGAGGCGCTGCGATCTGCGAATTGACCTTCAAAGGAGAGCCATTTGCGGAGCCTGCTAAAGCTTCCTCGGCAGCCGCAGCCCGCTGCTCCGCAGCTTGAATTTTAGCTTGGAGATCGGCCTGCTGTTTCTTCAAAGCGAGCTTGATTTTCTTCTTCATGGACGCCATCTCTGCCATGAGCCTGTCATTCTCAGCTTTCAAGCGCTCCGCGGACTCCATGATCCCTCTCTAGGTCAACACAAGTGCGATGTCTACTCTCGCAACCACACCCCTAGTGAGCGCCTACCGTGTCCTCACCATAAAATCGAAATTACCGATCTACATTGGCACCCATGCTCCCACAGTTGCACGAGAACATTCCCTGTCCGCAGACAGATCCGCGGGCACAGATCCGCGAGCCTGATCCATGACAGCCGGTAAGTGATCGAGACTGCACGACCGTGCGCTGATGCTGGAGCTGCTGCGGCTGCTGTCAAGAGCCGAGGCGAAGCGCTGGCCCAAACCCCCACAGAATCTGCAGGGCCGAGCAAAACCTCGAGAACGGATTGACCGAGGACAAGACAGCAGCAGAAAAGGTCCGAGATTTGTTCTTTCCGAATCGGTCGACGAATTGAAGGCGAACCGCACTCACCAGACGAAACAAATTTGTCCAAGACGGCAGGAACTGGAACTGGCACTGGCACTGGCAGGCCAGACAGATCGTGACAGCACGATTGTCTCGTCCCTACTCCCGCCCCCGCCCGTCCGCCTTCCTTCGTCGCCACGAGCTCTTCTCGCGTTTCCGAAAGACAGACGAGACGGCCTCAGACAGAGACAAGTGCAGACGACTGGATTTTCATTCGCCTCCAGCTTGACCCTGGCCCGGAGCACCACCGGGTCCGGTACTCGTGAGGAACGCTGGAAGTCCGGGACGGCGTCCTCGGCCTTGGGCCTTGGCTGGTGGCCTTGTGTCCTCCTCTGAGTTGACCGGCTGCACCGAGGACGGGCAAGATTGCATTCCGGATGAAGTTTAGGGCCGGTGATGGACCGTCCTCTTGCATGAACTGCGAGAACAACACTAACATCCAAGACCGTCGAGAGCTCATCTACTTTGGTTTATGTGTAATTGTGGACAACACTTGACAGAGTGTGTGCATTATGCGACATGCATTTTGATCTCTTTAGCATGTTGTACAGACTGATTTTTACTGAATGCGATTGTATTGTGAACAATAGCTTTTAGATTAAATAGATTTAGTGACGTTGAATATTTAGACGATTTCTCAAAGGATTCCCGGAGGAACAAACTTACCATTCCGTAGAAACCCAACCTTGAGATTCGGGGCTGGTCATGTTCATCGAGTATGTATAGTTATATTTAATCATACTGCTCAAGATTTAAAAGATGTTATAACAAATCAGCAGATCTTATACATCATTTGTTTCGTTTGTCACTGTCAACTGAAATCTTTCTTCTTCTTCTTTTGCTAATGTTACTCTTCCCGAACTTTTATACTCCCACGTATATCTCAATGGTTATATCATGGAGCTTCGAGAATCAATATACATGATCTTAGATCATGTGAGAATATATCTATAAGCTATTCTTTTAATACTTTTGGAACCTACTTTTATCTACTCGTTTGAATTGCTTCCATGATATATTCATTATTCATTGTTGCAACGATCATCTATTTTCCATCATTCAGCTTGGAATATTTATCCATGTTATAGTTTTTATACTTGTAATTTGCATGAGAGGATGACCAAGTTGCTTTTTGTATTTCAAATACTAGAATACAAAAAGAGCATTGACATCATTAAAGTCATCAAATATTGTCATTTGAAAAATCTGTATAACGTTTTTGCATAAACTGCAGCAATGCCTTATGATTGATGTTCACCTTATTTCTCTCAGTCGATAGTAAATATTTGTTCTCTGGATAAAAAAAATGTCTATATGACTCCCATACATACATATTTTTAAGAAAATTATAGTTTTGTTTCTCCATGATGCATACGTCCAGCTTTATGATTTAATTGAAATAATTTTACTTTAAGATAATTGCATGTATAAAATAACATTTTTAAGTGTTAAAAATTTTATCCAAACTTAAATTTATTTTCAAAATTATTTTAATCTAGCGTTGTTATTTATTCTTGAATAAAAAAATTAAATTCTTCAACAACTTGTATTTATAAAGTATATTCAATTGAAATTTTGTAATCAAATCAAGTATAAACGTATAGATTTTTTTATGAGTTTTATGTCTTACTCTTTTTTAATTCTTACAGCATTCAATTCAATTTAATTAATTTTTTAAATTTTTGCTTAAATGTAATGAAATTAAAATTAAATTCAAACAAAACTTATATTTTCTTAAATCTTTTATGTATTTTTAATTTATAATGTATGATGTAAAAAATCGAATATTAATTTCCAAAAGTTTAAAACGCTGGCATGTAATTTAATTTTGTAAAGCCTACAATTTTATCATAAGTGGTGTATATGAAAATTATTATGTGTTCATATGAAATAATACTTTATAAAATTCGGAGTAGATATTCACAAATATCATAATTGTTTCATACTATAATTATATTATACATACATTTATTTTGCAGATTATTCTTGAATTTAGCTTTGAGTCTCTTCAGTTTATTAAGAAATTTTGTTTATAAAGAAATACAAGAAGATTTGCAAATTAATAAATCAATGTTTGGGTGATTTATAAGTGTCATAGATGGTCATCATGTAAATTGATTGTTCAAAAAAAAGTTATATATTGTGAATTATATTTTTTAATCAAACAGTGTTTTTTACGTTGCCGGAGGATTAAATATGGGCAAAGTTATATTTATTTAAAATTTAATATGTTTTAAAAAAAATTCTATCTAAATCAAGCTCTATGAATATCTATTCACTATCATTAGGAATTAACTATTTCATTGTATCTCTACATACCATAATCCGTTCACAAGTTTTTTTACTAGATTATTGTAAGAATATGTTTTGTCACTTTTCATTTTTGTTGATTATTAATATACTTTTATTATAAACTTTGTAATAACATCAAACAGCTATTCTTTAATCACTATGATTTTTTCATGCCTATATTTCATCAGGATTAATATCAAATATAACTTATTTATTTTTAAATGTCAATATTGCTTAGATGTCAATTAGTGTTTTCATCTTAAGTTTATCAATAATCTTATATATAATTAAGTAAGAATCAACTATTGGTAGTTATGCAAGCTTTTTACCATTAAAGCTTCCAACTTCTTTTTACTTGAAAAGATAGAATAAGATTGTGAAGTAAAATCAGTCATGATATTTATTATCATTCAGATTTAATAATTCTTTGATAATATTGAAGCTTTATGATTTTAAAAACTAATTTATTCCAATATTAGACTTTGTTCTTATGCTTACGGAAAAAATTTGAAATAAATTCAGATTATCTATTCACATTCATAATCGAAAAATATGAATTTTTTTCAATGAATTATATTACATTCTTATAATTTACAAATATAACATTGTTTTGGAAAAAATTCCACTTTCATATTCATATTATAATTCTCAGTTTGATAATAATTATTGTGCAATAATAGAGTTTATAAATACATGCCTTTTGAAATTTGACCCTTATGTATAACATAGTGTCTTGTGCAAAGTTCCATAAGATTTTACGTTTGTTGAACACAAATTATTGATTAATTGAGCTATCTGATTTTATGATTATTTCATTATTTTATTTATAGGTCAAGTTTATTACAAAGTTTAATGAATATTTATAGATTTAATTTCATAAAACAATTAATGTTTAAAAAAACAAATGTTTTGTTCAAAGTTTAATAGAATTGTTGATGATTGCTTTATATGGGACATATAAAAAATCAACAATAAGCTTTGTTGCAAATATTTACTCAAAAATTATGAGAATATCCATACAAATTGTGAGCAAAATATACATCAACAGATTGTGCAGATAAGATTTACCTTTAACAAAGACAAAATCTATTGATACTTAAATTCAGAATTATAAAATGTAGTGAAAAATTTCTGAATGATATTTATAACTATATTTTATAAAAAAGTCCATATTATCATTACATTTTAATCAGGTGAATTAAGTGATGATGAATGAAATGAAAGAGTTATTTATTTACTCATAAGTAATATAAATTCAAACAAAGAAGTAATTGTAAAAAGGCTATGTATTGATGATATTATTTGATCATGTCATTCATCTTTATATGAATCTTTTATTATCATAAAATGACAATTTTTTTCAAGAAATAATAAATAAATATAACTAAAAACATCAAATGTTCAAAGTTGATTCAAGTCATTCATTATGGTCACAAATTTATTAATTATGGTTCCTCTCTTTCCTAATAGTTTTAATACGGCAGAAATGTGGCACGTGTAGATAACTCGGAGCCCGTATGATCCAAAAACATCAAATTGTTTTTTTTTTAAATTTTCTTCAACAAATATAATAAAAAATATTCATATATTTATTTATTTATACATAAAAATATGTAATATATTTATATATTATTTTATTTGATTTTGTGATTTTATTCAAGATGCTTTAGTGATGGAGATTATCATGTTGGAGTTGTGATTGTTATAGACATTTGATTGTTCAAGATATCAAATATAACAAAACATGTGATATTGTCTATATTGTGAAGTAGAATCTTGATTGTTGCAAACATGAGATTGTTTGAGACATTAAATATGTGATATTTTCCATATCGTGAAGGAATGACAATTTTTGGTAATGACCCTGGTTCCACTCTCCACATAGTAATAGGCTTGACGATCGAATATAATCAACGCATTTTTCTTGGTTCTTTCGGTGTAAGTGCTCAGGCGCGTTATGAGTAAAGTATGAGAATGAGATTGGAAAGTAAATGGCGAGATTCTAAGAATTATACCAAAGTGAGGTGAATAGGCTTATGAAAGTGCAGACCATAGAATAGAGCTCAAGTGCCTTATTAGAACATGGAGACAAGAGGGAATCCAATTGAGAAAAATATGAGATCCATTCGGTCATTAACATGATTCTTAAAAAATCTGGTGAATTTAAATGTAGATGATACTTAACCAACCACGTTAATAAACTCCGTAATTAGTGTTCACAACACTATGAAATATATGGCATGATTGATGTGCACAGAAATTGAACGTAAACACTCTACATCCAATGATAGATGTCTCAATGCAATGTCTTTATACGTTGTATTTATATATGAATGAAAATATAATCAACTAATTCAGTCTACTTCTTATTTAACTAGTAATGAATCTTAAGTTTAGACCTAAGTTGTGTGTAAAATCTCACTAATTGCCCACACAAGCTAGGAGAAAATATCTTTTTTGAGTACTTTTGAATCTAATTCCACACAAACTTAGATGATGTAATTAAAAAATAGTTAAAATTGTATAATAAATTTATGATAAATTAACAAAAATTGATCCAAGAATCAAACTAAAGCATGTGCAATTCGATAATAATATGAAGCCATCACAACAAAACACGAGACAAAGTAATGTGTTTCAATACAAATTCCTCCGTTAACTCGTAAAACTCACACTTGAATATTACTCCAGATATATATTTTTGACATTGTCGACATCCTTACCTATAATTATTTGGAACTTGAGATAATTACTCAATCGGAGTTAACTTCATCTCCACTTTAATTCATATTAAATAAATAATAACATGTGTAATTTATGTTATTACCTTGCAAAAAGTTCTAAACAAAACCCAACACAATATCACTATTTGCACAAGAGTTAACAAGAATTAAATTGTATCCATAACA